TTTGGCTCCGATACGTTGATGACACATTCTTCATCTTGAAGAAGTCGGAACTGGAAAGAACACAACATCATCAATAACACATTCAGTGGCATCAAGTTCACAATGGAGACGGAGAAGGATAAACAACTGGCCCTTTTGGACATTTTGATCATCAGAACGCCATCAGGAAATCTGAAGACAACGGTCTACCGCAAAGCAGCGCATACGGATCAAATTCTCAACTTCAAAAGTAATCATCCACACAGCCACAAGCACCAACATACTCAAGAAGAAGGAAGAAAGATATCTCCTCAGAGTATTTGCTCGCAACGGCTACACCCGCAACTTCGTCAAAAGAACTTTGACCCAAAGAAAGAAAGAAACAACAGACGGAGAATCGGGAACAAGAACGACCCTGCTGTACATCATGGACGTTTCGGAAATGACAGCAAGACTGCTCAGATCGTATGGAATCCAAGTCGCCCACAAACCTACCGGTTGTTAAAGGAGACTTCTGTCAAAACCAAAGGAGAGAACAATGGAGAAGGACAAGAGCAGTGTTACCTACAAAATAAACTGCAAGAACTGTCCAAAACACTATATCGGACAAACTAGGAGAAAAATGTCAACAAGGATCCGTGAACAGCCAGCGGTAGTCATGACTCACTATCTTTGATATCCCTCCACGAAGATCAAGAAGAACATCAGTTTGACTTCGCTTCAGTGAAAACTATCGACCAAGCCCGATCAAAACACGCCAGAGAATTTCTTGAAGCTTGGCACTCCTCAATCAACAGGCAGATTGAACTGGATCACGTGTACACACCAATGTAACTCAAGGATCAAACGACGCAACAAAAATGGTCACGCTGTGACCTGAGAACGGGCCGAAACCGCAATCAAGACGGATGAACAACCACCTCCCCTACCAACCTCATCCCCACGCACCAGGTTAACGGCGAACCCAGTCGAACACAATGAGAACAAGGGACAAAAGTGTTCGGTGGAGAAGAACACATATATAAACGAACGGATACAAGTAGAAGACTGCCACTTCACAAGCACTGATGATGTCACCTCGGCTGGTGATGAAATGTTTGCAAACAAATTGCCAAGCTCGGCGAACAGGCAAAAGCGAAACCATTGTGTTGTTGGTTCCATCGCTCGCCCTACTCTGTGGAACTGTGTTTTTGAGATGTGAATTACTCGTGAAGGATATTCTTATTCTTACAGTACTCTGCCAGGAAAGGTTAGGGCTTCTGGTGAACTTTCACTTCGGTTTCCTTGCACCAGTGCGGTACTGCAGGTTTGCCCCATCTCTCGGTTTCTCTTAAAAGTTGCAACAGATGAAGTCTTGTCAAACGTGTCGCTTAACGTAACGAACCCCGGTGTTGAGTTTCATCCTGTCAACAGAATCGGTAACTTGGAGTGTGCTGATAATATTATCCTACTTGTTAAAAATCTATTGGCGATAGAAGACACACTGTAGCGATTGGCAATGGAGGTTTCCCGCTCACATATGGGCTTCACGCTCCTCAAATGCAGGATGCAGCTGCAGGATTAGTTGGAACCCGTTCCTACTTTTTTCGTCAGCCATGTCACTCAGCAAGTAGTCGACAGCTTTGTCTATATCTTGGGAGTTGCATAACAGGTGGTGGGGATGTAGATGAGGAAATTTCTCAGTTCGTTACGGAAGCAAGATTGGCATTTGCTAATCTGTGACATGGCTTTTTGATTGAACGGGCATGTGCATAACGCAGCGGTTCATGTTACTTCGTGGCCTCTGGAAGCAGATCGTGACCAGCGACTATTTGTTTTCGTCAACTGTTGTCTACGCAGCGTCGCCCGCATATAGCATCGTGTGAGTAGTAGTTAGATCATATGGGTGACATCACATTTGTCATCATTTTATATAATAAATTTCTATTGTACTTCAGAGTCATTGAAAAAGATCAAACAACTTCAATTGGAAAAGTAACTATTTTCCAGTTCCATTTCTATCTTAGTGTAATCATGGAACGCTTTTTTTGGTCATGGCTCCATACAGCACTTTTTAAATAACGTGTTTCACTAAGCAGAAAGACGGAATAAGACTAGAAGGACTAGATGAGGACAATTTGTAGCGAATCATTGTTCTGTGGCTATCGGAAAAAATATAATCAACAGAAGATATACCCTATTTTGTACGATTGTCGTAAGTACTAACTAATAAAACATTTAAGGAAATCACAGAAACGAGACTTTTGATTATGACTATCTAGGTGGTAATAGTTATCGCTTGCAGCCTGAGAAATGTTGAAAACTAGAAGAATAGAAAATAAGTGAAAAATCATTCGAATTTACGAAACTTTGTGCCCTTGGGTAAGTACCAAGCAGTTTACATTCTCGTAACAATAAAGTCAGTCGACACAGATCCCAACCGCGGACTTCAATGTGTTTGGTCTGTGGAATATTTTTTTCAAGAGTAACATCAATGCCTTTGAAGTGCTTGCTATCGTCGTATAAACCACATTCGGAACGCATGGGACACTAAGAAGTCGGCAAATGCGCTCCTCGTGACAGACGTATCTTGAATAAAGGTTCTGCTTTCTTGGTACATGCTAAGTCAACACATGATACCTCCGCTACATCCGGACTTCAATGAAAAGTGTAGTGTTTGCTACAGTATTGCTACCGAAGTTGCTGTGTAGTGCGAAGACGGTTCCTGTTGGAGGGTGACCGCTGATTATCGGTGTTAGAATATCTTTGTTTATGCCACACTACACGATTCTGCCAGAGTAACTGATCAAACAATGTGAAATCAAGATAAGTTGTATAAACTAGTAACGGACACGTAGTAAGACAAGAACCCGATGAGCATGGACTGCATTAGTAGTGTGTTATGCATCTCACACCGTAGGTTTCCTCGGCGTGCGCTGCTTGCCGAGACCAGCTGTACTTAGAAGAGATCCAGGGGTATTAAAAAGAAGACCTGGCACGATAGCTTGGTCATATAAGTTGTACCGGACTTTCCGGTTAGGGACCGCTAGGTCAGCTTTATTGGAGTACTGAGTGTATCATTTGGGTAAATGTTGTAAATAGTAGCACTCATGATCTACTCACTTTGTGCACAAATTTGCTTTTCATTCATTTTATCTTCATCATGGTGCTGCTCTCAGTTTCTTATTTCTTCCGTTCACTTCATTATTATTGGACCAAACGGGCACTTAAGTGCAAGTTGAAAGTTGTGTAAGCGGAAACTAAACCACTACGTATAATGTGACCCTTATACAACTTGGACGTTGCGTTGTCGGTGATTCCCCTCTACTGGTATGAACGGTGTTGGACCATTGATCGTCTGTTTTGTGAACTGGTGTTGACTGAAACATTTTCCACATATGCCTATGACAGCATTGATTAATTGACCTATGCTGTCCTCGACCATGTATGTCACACAAACATTCTCACAAAATTGATTCACCCTAACCAATTAGACATCGGTATTAAACTGTCCGCTTTGGTTGATGCGTCGGCTGCTTGACCGCACTCTGATGACATGTAACGGCTGCGCTCGCTTATTCGTTTTTTCCTTTTGCTTGTTGTCTGTGTGTATGCTCTACAAATAACTGGGTTGTTTAATTCGCTATGATACTACTTACTTATCTAACCAGAGAACGACAATCTCCTATGCATATTAACCACATTTCTGTACAAGCTATCAGCTACGGAAGGATTGCTGCAGAATATTCTGATTTATCCAGGGTCAGCTGAATGTTGTTTCCGCCCCAAAGTTGTCTCAAGTTGGCGAACATCATCGAATCTACCGTTAATCTGTCATCACTTTGTTCACGAAAAATAGCAGATGGGGTTTTTGAAACGGTCGCCAGCGTGTTCGCTTCCAAACACCCTTGTAGATCGCACACATGCGAGATTGGTGGGCACGTAAACTGAACAGTTGAAACCTAGTCGCAGGTGGAAGAAAAATATGGCGATCCAAGTTTTCCAATTATTCTATCCTAAATTTCTGATTGCTTTTCGTTATAGATATTCATGTTTCCATTAATTTTATTAATCAACGTTGAAATTTAGTGTCAGTATAAGCAAAGGACACCGTTACGCAGTATCGTCTTCACTTATCATGTAAAACGGAGCGAGCGGATGATAGCAGTACTTTAGTGAAGCATAAGAGCCAGGACGACCCAATTAGACTTCTCCTTTCATCGGTTTCGGTAGCATTGCTACATCATCGTGGTGGACCAGTGTTGGACAGCCGCATTTTCTCGGTAATTGATCATAGCACGAATTTTCTTGCAATCAAACATTGTATACCCGTTTCTCGTACCCAGCTAAGTGCATTATTGAAAATTTATTTCGCAATGACGCAAGACATATCGTCAACCATTTACTATTCAGTTTTTCTATCGTGACGGTAAAAATCATTGGTTTGTCATTTGCCCCCCCCCCTTCGACTCCNCCTACTTTTTCAAGCCACTGGTCATTGACTTTGTCGAGAGATACGCAATCCCACGACCAGAATTGCACTATGCGTTGGACAAACTACTCCCGGTTCTATTTCGTCGTACCGGAGACACGGCTGTGCGTATTCGTGAGGTGGCTAAGAAACAAATTCTAGTCATGGCTCAATGGCCTCAGGTTGGTACCGATTGTAATGGTTTTTTGACTTCAGCGTTTTGTTGTACTCAATTTACTTCTTCAAATGAATACGTTTCTTATCCAAAGGGAAAAACTACAGTGACAAAAACCGCCGCTTGAAGGCGCGTGTTTAATGGTCCTTAACCGGACTGAATTGAACATCACGTGGCAATTATCGAACCCCGGATCCTTCTAGTAGGTAGCCCGCATGCAATCTCAGCCAATCGGTTGGACTACGGATTGTTCCTGTCAAGCACTAACTTTTCGCACAAGAAACGACACCGCTTTAAATGAAAACAGCCAAACTCTTCATATCACTGGACTCAAATCGACCACATCGCCCTCAGCTACCGTTGGAGGGGATCTGTCGAAGCCTGCCGTTCTCAGTGGTCAACACCAGGGGACACGGACCACGCTTTGTTAAGAGCCAGATTCTCCCTACGCCTGGCAAACAACCGCAAAAGCGCCACCCGAAACGGATGTCTACGATACAGTGCACTGTAAGCAATAGTTGAAAACCGGCCTTCGAAACGGAACTCTCTTTTTGTCTCTCAGTCTAACCAACTACCGAAGGACTCAGTGAACATTAGACGGTNTAGACGGTAATCAAGGAAGCTATCCAGATGTTGAACAAAACCACGGCGGATTTACGTGCGCGATCAAACACAAATGATGGATATCATCGACCTCGACTACCTTACTGAATAACTGCAGAACTATCCCTCCCGGTTGGGTGGTGGTTGTCTGATGATACCGTCAGCAAATCATCATCACAAAGGACGTTGTTCAAATCCCAGCACCATCACCTGACTTCCCCATTGTGTTGCATGACAGATCTTTGATTGACCGCTTCTGCTTCCTGAAAATCGTATAATGTTTTCGATCAAAGGAAGTAAAAATGAAAAAGCATAAAGGAGAAATTTAACACAATGCGCAAATCTCTTAAACGCTAGTTCATCAAGAATCTGAGGAATGACCGCGAGAAGTGGTGAGTAGGAAAGTGTAGAGGGTCGCCGCTGTCGGTACTAGTTGTAATCTTATCTGCCTACTTAGAAGTACGGAATCAAGGAAAGTTGGCCTAAAATAGGTAATTAAGGGGTCTGACGGAACTCTGATTCACAGTCAGCAACACTGTCTCGATGGGCTGAATACTTTGATGCCCAGTTCCACTGGACCCCATCGACATGGGACCTATCAACCCACTACATCAACTGGAAAACTACTATCAGCTCTCCATCTGAAATGGAGGCTTCCAGGGAAATAAGGTATCTCAAAAGGTATAAGGCTTCCAATCCAGCTGTCCTGCTTCCATCGGCTTTTAAAGATGGAAGGTTAACTTTGGTTTTGGAGTTGATAAAACTTCTGGGCTTAATATGTTAGAGGGAACAAATTCCAACTGAATGGTGTGAATCGGTCATCTTACCAGTTCACAAGAAAGACGACAGATCCTCTCCTGAAAATCACAGAGTAATTAGTTAGTTAATTATCTAAACTTCTCATTGAAATCATCCTCGTCGAGTGTCCGCCGCGCGTGAAAATTGCACCTTTGGGAATCTAACTGCTTTGTATATGCAATCGGAAAGCCGCTCCAGACACTCTTGTGCTGTGCGTGAACAATTGGTCTTCCACCATTAATGCCAACGTATCCGCTCATTTCCCAAAATGCATCAAGTGTGTTTCCCTTTCAACAGTTCCGTAGGTGCTAGAACAATTGCACATACCTGTTGCAAACCCATGCATCGCTAACTGATTAGTGATACCCATGAGTGACAGTGTAAATACTTCAGATTTGAAACAAGAAAATACTGGAAACGGATTAGATCGACCAAAAAAAACAACTTATAGGAGAAACACCAACCACAAACCGTCTGAAAGAAAGAATATGACTAAACAAAAAACGTGATAACCTTAACTTAACACTGCCGGGGCATTCTGAATCCATTCACAACTCTTCCGAACATTAACTCACCTCAAAATAATCAACAAGCCTGCTGAAGGACTTAAAACTCAACCACTCCCATACCAAATAGACAGACTTCATGTCATCTACTGACTGCTAAGTAATAAACTGTTTCTTACCAGAAGAAAGAAGAAAAGACATCAGAATCAAAGTATACCAACAGCTCATCCAACCCAAGCAATCTAATTCAATCCCGTATATCGAAATAAGAGTTTTTAAATCGTTGAGCGGGGGCACTGAAGTCGTCATCCGGCATGAAATGGGCGATGCAGTCATGTTATTCGATGGCATGGAGTCCACAGAGAACAAGCCATGGCTCAGGCAAAGTTATCCGTATTATGTTGATTCTTTTGTTCCTGTCAGGTGATCTAAACCGTACTATATGGTTTCCGTATAACATCAGAACTCCGGCTTTCGGTCAGTCAAAGTCTGACTCATAAAACGATTTTTCAAAGCTGCATTCCATTCGATGCTGGTGTACAGTTTACCTTATCTTGCTTCTTTGGGATGCGGCATATCCTGAGCGCGGTTCTTGCTGCAAAAGCATTTTCTCATCTGATAATCTCCATGAGGACCGACAAAAAGCATTGGCCAGCTATCTCGTGCTTTCTGGGGTTCAACAATGATGCCCACTATTGTTTAGAAGGCCACTATTAATGCATGAAGTAGATAAAACATGCTTTCGAAGTCGTAGGCGCAGGCGAGCATTATCAAACATTGACAATTTAGACCGTGCAACATATTCAATTACTATCCACACCTACAAGCTGAAGAGCTATCAAAACATCACAAGCCTATCAGAACCAACCATCTTATATTCCTGCGCTTAGCGTTTACCTACACCTAGTTAGCATTACAACAGCTTCGAGGTTAGTCTTTCCTCGTTACTATAAGAAAATTTTCCCCAATCGGTCAATAACAAATGTACGGTCAAACAGTGAAAATAGTAGTCTTTTAGGGAAATTTTTCCAATGGGAATAGACACTTCAAACTATTCAAAGTGAACTTTTAGTCTGCCTATTCCCGTCCTTTTAATAATCTCAAGTACATCACACAAACAAGTCCCCACAAAAAAACTGTGCATCTCATATATCCCTGCTCGGATCGAATCCATTTTCAAGTTTTCACTGTTGTCGCAAATATTTCAAAATGTTAACGATTTTATCCAATCCAACATTTGTGACATGTTTACTGAAAAGCTAACACTGAAGAAATCGTACGCTATTGTTAGCGGAAAACTCTTATCCAAATCAGCACCTTTGTATTCACAATTCGATTGTGCAGTTGATTCGTACAAGAAGCGTAGGCAGACAATGAATGCTATTTATTCTTGATTTCTTACTGATTGCATGTGCTTCGGGGGCTCATTGAACTGTTTTTGTACTTCCTCTATATAGCGCTTTGTGGTCGTATAACATATCATTCATGTGGACTCACATTGTACCAATTGGTGAGAAACAAAATGAGATGGAGAACAGTTTCGATAATTGATTAGCGTTTGCGATTCTTGTCGGAGGGGGATGGCAGACCGAAGTGTGCGATCGAATGGGAAAGTCTGGACTGGAACCGGAAGTGAATGATCAATCGATTCGACTCCGTATCAGGCTCAAATGTTTCTGTGTGTGTGTGTGTGTGCTCGTGCGCGCATGTACGTACGTCAATTCACTTATGTGCACCAACTAGTGAATCACTATAGTCATATGGTAATGCGAGGAAATGCGCGATACCCAGTGGACATGACTACGGTGTCATGCATTTGAATTGACATATCCGAGTCGATAATCTGCAAGGTTGTTTCAATAAGGTTTCTTTCTGCTAGACCAAGTCATCCACCGTAACTTACATACTCAAATGGCACACTGCAGGACCAAAGTCAAAGTTTTATTATGGGAAATACTTACAAGCGGTTGCTTTTCTAGTCCCATAGGATTTGGCACAGATTAATCGGTTCACAGTTCACAGTAGATGAATGTCACAATTTGTCCTTTTTTCGTGCGCTTCTACTAATGTTGAAATTTAAGACTTTTCAAAGCTTCATTCAGTTTGTGCTTGAATAAATCAATTGTGGGCTCAGAAACAACGCGAGGTGGTAGAGAATTCCAAGTAATGCACATTCTGAGGGCAAATGAATGACGCCGGCATTTCTGGAGCACTAATTTGAATGGGTGCCCCCGCAGGTGAGTGTTGGGCGACAAGGAAAAGAGTGGACGACATGGGTGGTCTGGGTTCTGCATTATTTGGCATACCAAAATCAAGTCTCCTCGAATGCGGCGATACTGTGTGGAGTACAGTTGCAGTGCTTCCAGTCTTTCCGCATAACTCTTGGAATGCAATCCTTTGACCGTTTTGGTAGCCATTCTTTGTTGGCGTTACAGAATCTTCTGATCTCGTTGCAGCCATGGATTCCATGCTTGAATGGCGTACTCTATGTGGCGTCGAATGTCGGCTGATTACAATCGTGGGAACAGCGTAGGTTCAAATTTGCCAAATACTCGTTTTTAGCAAACTAACATGTCTTACAGCGGTAGACGACGCTTAGGTTGTCTTGAACAATGACGCTGAGATCCTTCTCAGTCGAGACGTATGGAAGTTGTTGATCTCTCAGGAAATACGGAAACCGAGTTTTGTGTTGAAGGGACCGTACATTTCGATACATTAAATTCCATGTCGTTTGCGATCGACCATTGATAGGCAGCATTCTTTGGAGTTCTAGCGAGTCCTCTGGTTTTGTCACCGTTTTCCATATTTTTGCATCGTCTGCAAACATTATTGTTTGTGGCCCGGGAATGTCTATTAGGTCGTTTATGAAAAGAAGGAAACGTTGAGGATCCAGCACGGATCCCCGTGGAACTCCTCGTGATACGCTGATGGGATCAGAAAGTGAACCAGAAACCCAAACTGCCATGGTGCGTTGTCGAAGAAATTCTTCTATCCAGCTCAGTACAAGTCCCCGAATTCCGTAGTTGTGTAGTTTCCTCAGTAGTATTTTGTGGTTCACTCGGTCGAATGCTTTGGAGAAGTCGAGGTACACGACGTCCACTGCATCATCGTAATCACCTGCTTTTGTCCACTCTTCTCGGGCCACAAGCAGGTTAGTGGTACACGATCGCCTGCGACGAAACCCATGTTGAGCAGGGGATAACACGTATTTTTCCAAGTG